GGCCTGCGGACACCTCTGGCTGGGGGCCACCAAGGGAGGCCCGTCTGCAGGAGCGGCCTCCTCCCCGGGAGGCCGCGGAGCATCCTCCATCCTGCACCTCCCACATCCCCAGCTTTAAGGAGAGGGATATTAAGGGGTGAAATAGAGAGCTCTGATCCCCTTGGCAGTGGCCACCCGCGTGGCAAGTGCTGGCCCAGCCTGCAGAGCTGGAGGGACTCGAGCCCATGGGGCTGGAGAGCAGCATCCCTGGCTCCCGGCTCACTCCACCCCGGAGAAGGGGAAAGAAAAAAAGGAAAAAAATCCCTGGGGCAGGGAGGTAAATATTTACTCTCCAAACAGCGACTGCTGCCCGGAGGTTAACAAGACAAATAAGCGGCCTCCGAAACGGGAGCGAGCGGAGCCGGCCGAGCCGCGGGGCAGCCCCCGCTCCGGCCACCCCCCGGCCCTGCCACAGGGCTGGGGAGGTGGCAGCGGCCACCGATGTCCCCTCCCCTTCGCCAGCTGCGTCCCAGGGCTTCGCAAATGAGAAAATATTGCAGTGCGCTTGGAAACGTGGCGATCGTCACTAACCGAATTGAAGCTCCTATTTTTCCTTCTCCGTTTCAGCTCGGCAGCCGCCGGGGAGGATTTATCTCCCCTGCAAACGCAGGAGCGAGTTCAATCTTGTTGGTACCTGGCAACAAGTCCGGGTTAAGCTCAGGCCACCGCTGACAGCTCCGGCTCAGGCACTCGCAGCGCGAGGGGCTCGCGGCTCCTCCGGGCACCGCGCCGGTCCTGATTGCACCGGCAGGCCAAAGGGCTGGAAAACAACGTGTTGTCCCTGCCTGAGGACGGGGTGTCAGGACGCTGTTGTCACCGCTGGAGCGCTCAGGTGTGGTGTGAAACCGCCGTGACACCCAGGGTGCCCCGGTCCGTCCTGTGCCCTCCTGGTGTTTCGCAGGGAAGGTGACAAAATCCTCCTAAAACCCCATTGCCAGCAGGAGCCCCTTGGTCCAAGGTCACGCAGAACCTCTTGGCATGAGCTGGCCATGCTCGGGGCTTGCTGTGGGCTACAGGAAAAGGGACAGTGACCACCACGGTGGGACAGGAGCTTGTAATGGGATGTGCACCCCATGGTGGGATGGGGATCCGATAGCGGGACAGGATCCTGTGGTGGGACAGGATCCATGGTGGGATGGGGATCCCATGGTGGGATGGGGATCCCATAGTGGGACAGGACCCTGTGGTGGGACAGGATCCATGGTGGGATGGGGATCCCATAGCAGGACAGGACCCTGTGGTGGGACAGGATCCATGGTGGGATGGGCACCCCATGGTGGGATGGGGATCCCATAGTGGGACAGGACCCTGTGGTGGGACAGGATCCATGGTGGGATGGGCACCCCATGGTGGGATGGGGATCCCATAGTGGGACAGGACCCTGTGGTGGGACAGGACCCATGGGGCAATGGGACCCTGCAGTGGACGGTCTGGTGGGATGGGCACCCCACGGTGGGATGGGGATCCCATAGCAGGACAGGATCCTATCATGGGACAGGACCCATGGTGGGACAGGATCCATGGTGGGATGGGCACCCCATGGTGGGATGGGGATCCCATAGTGGGACAGGACCCTGTGGTGGGACAGGATCCATGGTGGGATGGGGATCCCATAGCAGGACAGGACCCTGTGGTGGGACAGGATCCATGGTGGGATGGGCACCCCACGGGGGGATGGGGATCCCATAGCGGGACAGGACCCTGTGGTGGGACAGGACCCACGGGCCAATGGGACCCTGCAGTGGCAGTCAGGGCGCTGCTGCCTGTCCCTGGCACTTGAGAATGAGGGTTTCCCACTGACTTCAGCATGGAAAAACTCCCCCAACACCGTAACGAACAGAAGAGGACTTGCACTGAGTTATATTTTAAAATGCTCATATATTTTCTTCTTTTTTTTGCCTTTTTTCTTTTTCTTTTTTTCTTTTTCTTTTTTTTTTCACAATTCTAATACAATTGTTCATCAAAATACTGGCGTTTCCAGCAGCAATTCTTTTTTTTTTTCCTTTTTTTTTCCTTTTTTTTTTTTTAAGTGAATAATAATATAGGGTAGTGATTTCACAGTAAAACAGACCTGCGGGAACGCCGGATATACGTGACAAAAGACACCCCCAGACCAGCCCGCCCCCTCCCCCCAAAAAAAAGATTTTGGAAGTGGGGGAAAAAATAAAAAGTTCATTCAAAAAAATTATTTCGAAACACATTTCATATAAAGCCTTTAAAACACGGTCAAAAGTTTCTCCCTCTTCTCCAGATCCCTGTCCCTGTGGTTGAACATTTACAGAGAGAAAGAGAAAGAGAGAGAAAAAGAGAGAGTTTATAACAATCTCTATAGAAGAAACAAAACAATCCAGAAAAGAAAATATCCAAGAATACGTAAGGGATAAAATTACATTTGTACAAAAATAGATTTTAACTTTATTGATGCTTTAGATATTTTTCCTTTTCTCTTTTTTTATTTTTTTCTGTCACTCTAAATTTTAACTTTTTTTTTTTTTTAGCTATGCACCCCATAGCCAAGGCATCCATCGCTAAGTATTGGGAACTGCTAAAGCTATTTTACTCAAAACCACCTGCTGCTCAAAACACACAAAAAAAAGAACAAAAAAGGCATCTTAAAATAGATGCATTTCCTTTGCCTCAAGTTATAAAGATCCGGATTTGGCATATGCCAATTCGAGAAGGGGTTCGGATACAAAGTACTCGCTTACATGAAGCAAAAAATGTATGAGGAAAAGAACAAAATAAAACAGGAAAAAAAAAGAATTGACTTAAAAAAAAAACACAAAAAAAAAGCCTGTAATTGCTATGGTTATATATACGTATATGTGAGTGAGGATATTTATACAGTGTATATATCTACAGTACATACATGTATACACACGCACATATGCATCAACTGAAAAGGGCCATGCAGGCGAGGTGGGGACAGCATCAGCTGGGAGCCACGGCCGGGACACCTTGGGGACAGGGTGACGGAGCCGCCGCGGCTCCGGCCGGAGCATCCCGAGGTTTTCGGCTCCGTAGAAGCGCGCGGAGCAGCCGGGGAGGGGGCGGACGGGCGGCTGCAAAGCTGATGTTTGTGCTATCTTTAGAAAATTAAAGATTGTCCCACCAAATAGAGAGAAACCCCAAAAAAAAGCAAATAAATCACCCTAATCAAACCAGATTTTTGCAAGGGTACTAAGATCTGGTTAAATGAAAGTCCTACCTCTCTAGTGAATAATGTGCTGCCTTTTTTTTTTTCCTTTTTCATTTACCCGCGTCTCAGCTCTCCGAACAAGCGTGTAGTTTAGTTATCGTTATGATGATGAGGAAAAAAAAAAAAAACAATTAAAAAGCCCCAAACGAAGCAGAACACAAGCGAGCGGCTCAAACGCATGCGCGAACGCGGTGCTTTAAGGCTGCGGACGGGAGCGGGAGCCTCCCCGCTCCGGGGGGTTCGGGGTTTGTTGGGAATCAGCCGAGGGCAACGGAGCAGCGATTACGGGCTAAAACTCAGAGAAAAGAGCTCAAAACGCCGCTCAGCCTCGCACCAAAACCCTCCTCTGCAAAGAAAAGTGGTTCTACCCAAGGGAGACGAGCAACAGCGCAGGTTTATTATAGCGCAGGGCTGGCCGGGAGCCGCCTGCTCGTGTTTACTGGCACCCGGCATCTATTTCATCTCTCCTGCCTCGTTTTCTTGGCAAATTCTTCCCGGGTGAAGCTGTTTAATAATATTTTCGGCGGCACGCAGGCTGCCGCGGAAAGGCGGCCAAAAACGCTCTCCCCGCCTCGCTGGATTTGCCACTTCGGGCCAGCCTCAGGGAAAGTTATGACCTGAAATCCCCAGTATTTATTCAGCGGGGAGATGGCCCTCGTCATGGCGGGGGGACGGAGCCGGCCCCCCGCGGCGCCGGGGCTGGGAGCCGGCTGCAAGCCACAGGGAGCCAGAAATACACTTGGGAGCTAATAATTTATCGTGTTTTTTAAAGCATAGGGGGAAGAAATAATAGTAATCACAAAAAAAACAGTGGTGGGGAAGCCCTTGGTGTGAAGCCAACCGCAGGCACCTCGCGCTTGGCTCCGAGCTCCTCCACGGCGCTTGGGATAGAGCGGCAAAAACCCCTCGACAAGATCCTTCATTGTTTGCTCTGCTTTGTCTCGTAACTTGTTTTTTTAAAATATTAAAAAAAAAAAAAAAAGGAGG